CCCAGATCACCCAGCGCAAGTGGGAGGCGGCCTTCGAGGCGGAGCACTTCAGAGCCTACCTGGAAGGCACGTGCGTGCAGTGGCTGGGCATACACCTGGAAAACGGGAAGGAGACGCTGCAGCGCGCAGGTAAAAGAGGCTGCCAAACGCCTCCCAGATCTCTCCAGCTGAGCCTTGCCTTCCACCAGGAAAGGAAAGGGACACCCAGCCAGGATAATCCCTTTCCCATTAATTGAGAGGAGTCCTGGATTTTCAGTCCCATACCAAAGTGACAATTCAGAAGCCTCACCTTCTCTCAAGAACATCTGAAGGGTCCAGTCTCTCCAGGGATAAGGGGAGGAGACCATGCTTGAAATAACTGAAATTCCTGTTGACCCTGGCAGCCGCCATGCACCATGGATCTCACATTGCCCCCCTCTTAACGCCTAAGATCTGACCTCAGCTTTTCTGAGTTACTGGGCTCTCGCCCAGGTCAGAACCAGAAATCCCTTTACTCTCCCTCAGAGCTTGGGGTTCAACTCTAGCCTTTCTCTGATTCTACAGCTTTCCAAGGAATAGCTTATCTCAGAGCCCTAGGTCCAGGCTGGTGTCTGAGTTTTGCACCCCCTCCCTTGATTCCAGCGGTCTTGTCCATACTCAGGATGTCCCATAAGCGAGTGTTGCTGGACTGTCCTTCATGGCAAACTGCCCGAATTTTGACCCTTCTTCTCAGACCCCCCGAAGGCACACGTGACCCACCACCCCACCTCTGACCCTGAGGCCACCCTGAGGTGCTGGGCCCTGGGCTTCTACCCTGCGGAGATCTCCCTGACCTGGCAGCGGGATGGGGAGGACCAGACCCAGGACATGGAGCTGGTGGAGACCAGGCCTGCAGGGGACGGAACCTTCCAGAAGTGGGCGGCCGTGGTGGTGCCTTCTGGAGAGGAGCAGAGATACACGTGCCACGTGCAGCACGAGGGGCTGCCTGAGCCCCTGACCCTGAGATGGGGTAAGGAAGGGAATGGGGGTAAAGCGGGAAGCCCTTCTGGGCATTCTCAGAAGGGTAGGGGCGAGGCATATGGGCCAGGGCCCCTCACCTTCCTTTCTTTTCCCAGAGCCACCTCCTTGGTCCATCAAGAATATCATTGCCGTGGTTCTCACTGTAGTTGTGGTGACAATTGTGGTTATAATTGCAGTTGTGAAGATTGAGAGATCA